ATAGGACTAACTAAGACTTTCCCTGCCCAACCAGAGCCATGCAGCTATATCTACATTAGCATTTCACTGTCTAATCAGAGAGGCTCCTTTAAGACCAATTAGAACAGTGCTTTTTGGACCAATCAAACCGTGAGGATTTGGAGTCCTCACTTGCATGAATATAGGCCATTCAGGGACCATGGACAGGGACCTCTCTCTATATGTCAGCTCCCCTCTGGCTCAGACAGCACACTTTCCCTTTCCATCTTAGACTGAAGGCTGCCTTTCCCTGGCTGGAGATGAAACACCAAAGACATCTCACCAGAGCAGAGGAGGTGGAGCAAAGAGCCCATCTAATTGGAAAACGGCCTTATCCCAGAACGGCTTACCCCGAGACGACCTCACAGCCGCGCTGTTTCATAATTGAGCTGTTAACGCTATTGAGTTGTTCCACAGCTATGCTGGTCTCAAAGACATGCAGCATCGCAACTGAGCTGTTTGCACTAATAAAGCTTCCTTCACTGCACTCCAAATTAGGGATTCCTATTGGCAGTGAATTGGCACCAATGACAATCGGTTGACCGGATCTTAAGTGCAGAATAAATAATCCAGTTGGGTCTGGGGTGGTCAAATAAGACTTTTAGCTTTATCCAATTTTAAAAATTTATGTTAAAAATCAAGACCTAATCCAAATAGAGCAAAATGTTATAGATGTTAAAATCTGAATGGTGGAACAAGGGTTCTTGTTATGTTATTTTCTGGGACTTTCTGTGGTGTTAAAATTGTACACCAATAGAGAGAAAATATGACTGAATAAATGATGATTTTTGAACATTTACATTTTAGTAAAAGAATGTTTATTTACAATCTCACTTTGTTACAACAAATAAGTTGAGACAGCTTACACAATATAAAGACAAACATATCCAATAAGATGGAAAAATATAAATTCATAAAAATCAGAATCAAAAAACAGATTAAAGGAGAAACCAACTACATGAGAAAATTAGAATACAATCATGCAGGCTTTAGGATTCTTTAGGATTCTACATAGTATCACATTTGTCATACAAATTTCACTATGAGTATCTTGACAAAACAAGTTACAGAATTGTTTCTCCATAAAGAAAAAAGCACACCAGGAACTCAGAAAAAATAAGGCTGTCCATGACAACCAAGGCAGCATGGGTTGCCACATATGAGATACTAAGAACCATACTGAAAGATATCCTCAATAATATCTTACAATAAATGCAACTGTAAGCATCCCAGGACTGCTTAGACTATTCCTCAGGGTAAGCTAAGGAAAGGACACTTGGGGCAGATTCCAGCTCAGTGTCTACCAAATCCATTCCCTCTTCAACCTGGTAATAGAGCTTGACCACAATTTTGCAACCTTCCTTGCAGTGAGGTTTGACCACATGATTGAATTCAAGACAATGAAATATGAGCCAATTCCAGGCTCAGTCCATAAAAACCACATGCTTTCTCCACACTCTGCCATTTGATAGCTTGAAACAGGCAAGTGGTTACATTAGAAGCTATGTACTAAAGAGAATCTATATATATATATGTGTATATATATAGATTACATATATATAGATTACATATATATGTATACACACACATATACATGTAATATGTATATATAATATATATATGATCCTAGGCTCCTACATATATATATATATTGATCACTGTTTGGAGGAAAACTGTCAGATGTCTGGAAATTCCATCCTGTTCATGCCAATTAAAACCACATGGCCCTGGTTAAGTGCTTAACTTGTCTACGTGCAGTTTGCTTCTGTGTAAAAAATAGATAATCATATCTATCTCACAGCATAATTAAGGAAAAATTACATTTTGTCATTTTCTCAAACTTGTCTGACTTTAAGAATCAGTGGAAATACTAAAAATACAGATTATGGATATTATCTCAGACCTACTGCATCTGAGTCTCTAGTGGACACTTTTATGAAGCCCCCACATGATTCCTAGGATCAAACAAGTATGGAGAATGCTGTGATAATTGTGTCTCCCCAAAATTCATATGTTGAGGCCCTAACACTCAGTGTGATGGTATTTGGAGATGAGGCCTTTGGGAGATAATTAGGTTTAGATGAGGTCAGGAGGGTGAAGCCCTCATGATGGAATGAGTATCCTGCTTAGAAAAGAAAGACACTAGGGTGCATCCTCTCTCTCTCTCTCCTTCTCTCTCTCCCTCTCCCAACCTTCCCCCCAGCCCCGCCACCCCCCTGCCGCCGCACCATGCAAGGACAAAGCAAGTAGGGGGAAGGAGGCAAGCCAGAAAGAGAGCCCTCATCAGTATCCAACTGTGCCAGCACCCTGTTTCCAAAATCTGTGAGAAACGATTTTCTGTTGTTAAGCCAGAACTAAGACACAATGTATATAAGGATTAATAAAATCCAGGATAAATGGAAAGTGTCTACCACGTAGTAGCTATCCTTACTAAGTGAATGCAAAATTCACATTACTCCAATGAAACTTTACACTTTGCAGAGAGCCAGAGGAAACTTCCATCTGTAATTCTGGAGTATTTCAAGGGAAGAGATTCAGGTTGGTAAGCAAAGAGAATGGATGGAGCAGAAAGATGGAGTAAACACACTTATCCCTATTCCTCCTGCAAAGTACAGCTAAGTGTATAAGTCACAGGACAGCCCCCAAAACAAAGAATTATCTGGCCCCAAATATTAATAGTGCAGCTAGTTTAAATTAACCTCCTCTTAAAGACTTCTCCAAGTAACAATGATCTTTTTGTTGCCTGTACCTACGGTCTCCAAGAGAGTTTAAAACAAGGTTACCCATTTCCTGAGTTTGTTCCTAGCATGTTATTTTGCCTCCCCTAACAGGCCTTGTCTTAGGCCATTTGGGCTGCTGTAGCAAAATACCATGGACTGGGTAGCTTAAAAACAAAAATGTATTTCTCATAGTTCTCTGGAGGCTGAGAAGTCCAAGACCAAGACACCAGTATGCTCCAGTTCTAAGGAAGGCCTGCTTCCTGGCTTATAGCCAACATCTTCCAGCTCTTTGTCAAGGTAGAAGGGGCAGGGGAACTCTCTGAAGCCTCTTTGATAAAGGCACTAACCCCATTCATGAGGGCTCCACCCTCCTCACCTAAGCACCTCCCAAATGCCCCACCTACTAATGTCACTGGCATTAGCATTTCAACATGAGG